CACTCTTTCTCTGTGTAAATAACTAGTCTTACACAGATCTAATCCATAGCAGCCCAGAAAAAGGCCCCCAGCCAAAGGTACAAGCAGGAGGCCACCCTGACTTGGTAAAAGGATGAACTGTGGTTCCCTGAGATTATTTTTTTCCCTTTCTGTACTTTCCATTATTTACATTCTCATTTATTTACACCACAAGCATACTGATACCTCTCTCTCTCTATCTCAAAGGAGAGTCTCTTCAGGTCAATGTCCTTCAAATCCAGTTTTATGGATCCTTTGTCAAAGTTGGCATCTCTGGTGTCAGCTGCTAAGTATTGGGGGTACTTCACCATGTGCTGAAGGTGGAAACAAAAGCACTGTCAGTAGCAGCTGATTGTTTGATTGTGGGTTTATGTCCCCAGCTTCTGCAGGAATCCCATGCTGACTCTCATAAGCTACCCATGGATTCTGACACACACAAATTCTCCTGCAGCCCTTCCCCTCTAGATTAATGGGCCCAGATGAACTGCTGAGCTCCACAACCCACAGATCCAAGAGTAGTAACCTGGCTGCACTGTTCCTATCTATTTCAGGAGAGAACAGAAATCCATTTCCAGCAAGACTGGAGCAGAAGAGGGAGCTGGGGCACACAACTTTGGCACTGCCTTCTTGCTGGGGACAGCTTCAGCTGCTTTGCCTAAAGACTCTCATGGGCAATTCCCAAGCCAGGACAACCACCTCCATAATGCTCTGTCTGAGACAGCAGAGTCAGTATCAGGCATGAGTGCAGGCAAGACAGTCTCTGCTCACCAAGTTCCCAACACCAGTCCTGTTTTTAAAGTTGTCTAGCTTTTATCATCCTGACTGACTGCCCCAAACAAATGAAACTCCCATTCTAGCTACACTATGTTCAAGCACTGTTTGGTCCTCTAGATATCTGTCCTCCAGCTGGATGCAGACATGCCAATACTCAGCTTGATGGAGGTTATAAAATTGCAATCAACATCTGATTATCTCTGACGATGAAGTGGTGCCCAATAGAGCAGAAACTTACAGGATAATTAAGCCTTGTTATGTCTAAGAGTTTCTGCTTCGCTTTCCGTTCAGCCTCTCTGGCTTCATGCAGATCTTGTTTCAGATGCTCTGCTTCTTTGGCTCTGTAAGACAAACATCCTGGTGTGAATGATTGATGATTTCCAGTGGAGAGCAACATGTGAATTTCAGAGCCAAGCACCTCACCAGCTTCTAGAGAACAAGATCTATTGCTGTGAGCAATTCCTTTACCCAAGGACACTTGTGGTTGGGCAGCCACATGGAGAACTGACTGGACACAGCATGACACTTGCTTTCAAAGACAATCCTGCACAAACTAGCTGAATTAATGTTTTTCCTACTCCTAATTTCCATGGGCTCAGTTATGACCTGCTGATACAGTCTCCAGGCTGTCAGGAATCCTCCCTGAGGCAGGGAGAGGTGCAACATAACTGCTCTTTATTTTGGCAAGCTTTTTTTGACAGCATACTGAAAGAAGCAGAAGGCCCTCAACAGTAAAGTTAAACATCCTCTGTCAACACTGCTCTGCACCTGCAGGCAGCACAGTGTTAGGGAACACAAATACTTACAGAGTGGTTTATATTCACACAAGTTTACCTGGTTTACACTTCTAAAGATCTGAAAGGGATACAAGAGACCATCACTTTCTACTAATTGCAAGAAGGTTTAGTCCCTCTGAAGTGCTGCTTTGGGAACAATCCCTCCCTCAGGACCTTAGCTCTGCACCCGAGCAGCCATCTCTGCACCCAAGCAGCCCAGGGGGAACCACACAAGCCCAGTGGAGCAGATCTAACCTCCGGTCAGACTCCTTCACCAGCTTCACTGCTATCAGCTCTGCCTCCCGCATCTTCTGCTCCATCAGCCGTTTCTCCTCCTTGGTTTTCAGAGCTGTGATCTCCAGCCTCTGTCGCTCTTGCTCAGCCTCTGCAGCATTCTGGGCCAGCAGTTTGGCCTCCTCCTCTGCAATCTGAGCCTTCTCAGCCAGCAACTCTGCTGCTTCCTGGGATCGGAGCTAAGAGGAAACAATTTTTCTTAGTGACCCTGTCTAGCATCTACCAGATCACCCCTGCAGACTGCCAGGAACAGGACACCTTTCCCCCAGAGTGATAAAAAGATTCCTTTAAAAGTATAGACAATCTAATTGCAGGGTCTAGAGTTCCTCTTCTGCTCCAGAACTGCCCAACTTCCTTCCTGCCTCTCACCTCTACAAAGCAAGAAGACATGTTTGCTTAGAGCTGGGCAAAGACATCAACCCAAATGTGAAGTTGGCCCTTTCAGCTGCCAGTGCACCATGCCCCCTTCTTCCAGTTTCAGCTCCAAGGTTGCTTCCTTCCTTCCCTCCCTCTCTGCCTGAAGAAAGCACTGTGAACCAAATACAGGGGGCAGATGTGTCACAGCAAATGGAAGTTATGGCAGATGAGAGTTTTCTCAGGCATCCCCCCATGCCCCCTCCACCAGTGGTCAGAAACTCTCCAGCCTCATCTGAGCCATACTTCCTGGTATCTCACAGGAGCCATAAGAAAAAAATAAATGCTTTCAAACCAAGAAAGCCCATCAAACACAAGAACATTCACACTAACATGCTACTCACCAGAGCCTCGTTGGCCTGCCTGGCTTCATCCTCCAGCTGGAACAGACGCCTCTCCAGCTCCTCCTTGGCTCGCTCAGCTTCTTCTCGGAGCTGCTTCTCCCTGGCCAGCCTTTGATTCTCCATCTGGAAACAGAACAAGAAACACCATGTTTGTGGCTTTGCAGCAGAATCTCACCTGGGCCTGAGGCAGCACAGCAAATGAATGTGATGAGGAAAGGACTGCTCTCTAGCTCCTGGACTGACACCAGGGATGCAATGCTGAAGCTGCCTGCACTTTGCAGCACTGAACTCCTCTAACGAGTAATACTGGTTATTTCAGGCTGCTGGGAAAGCCCTTGGACCCATCTGTTATGTACCCCAAATCTCTGTGATCACCTCTTCAGTTTCACAAACATCACTTACATCCTCAGATGCTGCATACACACCAGAGCTGTTCTCACATTCAATCCTGCTGCACTTTCTCACCTCCCACACACATATTGATGCAATGCATGGACAGCAAGGGCACCAGCTGGAAAAATAATCAGTGTTTTCAACAGTAGAAGAGCTGAAAGAATTTACCTTTTTCCTAGCTTTTTCTTCCCTGGCTTGTGCCTTCATTTGCTGGATCTCTATTGAGTCCACTTTTCTTCTCCTCATAAATAGGTCATGGTTTCCAATGCACAATTGCAAAATCTGGATAGGAAAAGTAAAGCAAATTTGATGTATTTTGTGCCCCAGCCAGAGGGACAAAGAGGCCCACATTGGCCTCACAGCACAGAAGCTGACTACTCTGACTTCATGACAAGTTGGCAGTTGCTTCCCTTCCAAGAAAATCAGCACCCAGGGCAGGCTCATACCAAGGTACATAATAGTTTAGAAAAGCTCCTAATGGGATGAAGGCTTCCTCTGCCCTTCATCCCTCTCTGGTTCCATTTTCCTGCATAAGAACAGGCAATAGAACTAGGCTAAGAGTACACAAGATGCAGCTGTAGGAATGGTCACCTGTGATAACCCCTTCACTTTTCCCCCATCACCTCCCCTTCCCAGAAGAGACAAATGTACCAACCCTGACTTCCCAAGCAGAGCAACCCTCAGGAAACCACAGGCAGAAACTCAGTGCTCCTTGGCCTCTCTGTAGTTTTTACAAGCAATATTTCTCACTCATCATCAGTCAGTATTACCAGGCTCAGTTTTAAAGGAGGAAAGCAGGACACTTACCAGTTTGTTCACTTTGAGTTGAGAAGAAAAGAACTTGAAGACCTCTGCCTTTTTGTCAAGAGGTTTAATAGTTAACTATACAGGCAAAGGAAAAAAAGAAACAGTGAGAAGGAGGAAAAATAAAGCTGAAATTATTAATACTAACACAAACTTCAACCTATTTCCATTTCTCTCCAGGGAAGAAGAGATTTGTGCCACAAATGTGAGGAGAGTGATGCAAAAATGTTCTGCTCAGAAGAATCAGAACCAGAGGTGCTGTTACATGGGTTCTTCCCCTGCTCCACAGCAAGCTATGTCAGAAGATAAAGCCTCCCACAGACCCACCCTGCTGCCAGTCTGGATGGTGGTTTTCATAATAATACCACCTGTGCATTGCAAACTACACTAAGAACACTGGAATAAGCTCTGGTTATCAGGAAAACAGAATCCATTACTGATCCCCAGAAGCAAACATATTCCTAAAGTCAGGGAGATGTCAAACACCTCTCAGAATACAAATCACTGCAGGTGTAAACGAAACGTATCAAGGGCCTGAAGGGCTTGTTCTTCTGACTATCAGGTAACAGTCCTGGAGCTCCTGCCTTCTCACATTGTCAGTCCTGTCTCTCAAGCTGTTCCCAGAGGACAGGAAGGGCTCTCATGCTGCCAGGTCAGTGCTGTTTCACTTCACATGTTGTGCTTGGTTTGGCTGCATAACAAAGTATGGCTTAGTTCTTTAAGATGCTGTTTTCTGTGACTCATGGGTGAGCTAGCACTCTGCTCCTGTCATTCATTTGCAATGCAGGGTATAATTTCAGGCCATGTGAATCACCAAGATCATAATGTCCTACAGCTTGTTTCACCCCCTAGGTAACAACTGGCCGAATGTGTTTCCTCCTGAGGAGCAGGGCCCAGAATGTGTTCCTGAATACAGTGCAACTTTAACAGGGCTACCTGATTTCCCAACAATAGGCAGTTAAAGCAGTTTATTCACAGAGTAGAGGGGAACTTTAATGTCATGCAAGGACCAAAAACTTCTTGGAGGCAGAGCTCAGCAGGCTGTGCTGCCCTTTGCCTGACAACTGCCAGGTATTCCAGCACCAATGTAGTTTTTCTGGTTTTGTTTTTCTGATTATAGCCTTCCCTGTAGCCACATGATTTGTAATCAGACTCAATCTGATCCCACTCCCCACTGTACTTTCTACAAAGAAGAGCTGTGAAATCCTACAGACACTGCAATGGTGGGGCTGTGCTGAAGACTGAAATCATGCACTGACAAACTGGCAGAATTCAGGCAGAAAAACATGTATCACTCCCTGCACGTCTCCTCTTGCCACTGTGCTTCAAACCCTATCTACACAGCCAGCTTCTGCATGTGAAAATGGCATTAAGTCTTCACAGATCATCTAGTTCCTGCT